AAATCTTTAGTTCAACTCTTTGATGTTGTCATTTCTTCCATTTATTTTAGCTACTCTTTGCTCAAGGGTAAGTTTTAGAGCCTCTTCCCATATCCATTTTGGTCTTTTCTTCCTTTCTCATCTTTTTAATGACCTCTTGCTTTCTTCATGGATGATGTTCTTGATTTCATCCCACAATTCTTCTGGTTTTCAGTCATTGGTGTTCAATGCATCAAATCTATTCTTTAGATGGTATCTAAATTGAGGAAGTATATATTCAAGGTCATATTTTGGCTCTCCTGGGCTTGTTTTAATTGTCTTCAACTTCTAGTTAAACTTGCATATGAGCAGTGGATGGTCTGTTCCACAATCAGCTCCTAGCCTTGTTTTGGCTGAAGATATTGAGCTTTTCCATCATCTTGTGCCACAGATGTAGTCAATCTGATTCCTGTGTACTTCATGTGGGGAAGTCCATGTGTATAGCCACCGTTTGTGTTGCTGAAAAAAGGTGTTTGCAATGAATAAGTTGTTGGTCTTGCAGAATTCTATCATACCAGCATTATTTCTGTCACCTAGGCCAAATTTTCCAACTACTGGTGATTCTTCTTTGTTTCCAACTTTTGCATTCCAGTCACCAGTCATAATTAACACATCTTGAATGCATGTTCGGTCAATTTCAGATGGCAGAAGTTGATAAAAATCTTCAATTTCTTCATCTTTGGCTTTGGTGGTTGGTGCATAAATTTGAATAATAGTGGTATTAACTGGCCTTCCTGTAGGCATATGGATATTATCCTATTACTGACAGCATTGTACTTCAGGACAGATCTTGAAATACCCTTTCTGATGATGAAAGCCAGACCATTACTATTCAAATTGTCATTCCTGACATAGTAGATCATATGGTTGTCCAATTCAAAATGGCCAAAACTGGTCCATTTCAGCTCACTAATGCCTACGATATCAGTCTTTATGTGTTCCATTTCATTTTTGACAACTTCAAATTTCCTAGATTCATACTCGATACATTCCATGTTCTGATTATTAATGGATGTTTCAGCTGTTTCTCAATTTGTGTTGTCCCATGTCAGTAAATGGAGGTCCTGAAAGCTTTACTTTGTCCATATTAGTAAGGTTGGTTCTACTCTGATGAGGCAGTTCTTTCCCAGTCATATTTTCAGTCCCTCCTGACATAAGGGGCTCATCTTGCTGCACTGTATTGGACAATGTTTCTGGGCTATTCCTAAAGTTATCTAGTAATGTATCAGACAGTGTTTCTCTGTTATTCCTAAAGTTTTCTGTGGCAAATTCTTTGAGAAATGGAAGGCCTCTTCCTTTTTGCAAGTCTCTCAGTCTGTAAGCTCTGGTGAAATGTGTGCACCATGTGCAACTCTGCTGGTGTTTGAAACACCGGTGGACAGCCTCAAGCCTCACAGCAACATGTAAGACACCATAGTACAAAAAACTGACATAAAGTTCATCTCCCTTAGCTGTTTGAAATTTCACCCCCCCCCTTCTTCTTACCTGGAAGCTTTTGCCTTGTTGTCACTGGCTTTCCCTCCTTTCTGTGTTTTGGGTGGGGGCTTTCTCCCTCTCCTTACCTTGCCACCTTGTCCTTCCTGGCTTTCCCTCCTTTTCACCATTTGGGTGGGGACTGTCTCCCTCCCCTTTCCTGGATCCTACTTCCTTGTCATCCCCAGCTCTCACTCCTTCCTGCATTTTGAGTGGGGCCTGTCTCCTTCCCCTTACCTGGATCCTTTGAAAAATCCATTGAAAGATTCTATGGGCAATACATTGAATGATGCAGGAAACATCAAAAGAAGATGGAAGGAATACACAGAGTCACTGTACCAAAAAGAATTGGTCAATGTTCATCCATTTCAGGAAATGGCATATGATCAAGAACCAATGTTACTGAAGGAAGAGGGCAATGCTGCACTCAAGACATTGGTGAAAAACAAGGCTCTAGGAATTGATGGAAAACCCATTGAGATGGTTCAACAAACGAATGCTGCACTGGAGGCACTCACTTGGCTATTCTGAGAGATTTGGAAGACAGCTACTTGGCCAACTGACTGGAACAGATCCATATTTGTACCCATTCCAAAGAAAGGTGATCCCACAGAATATGGAAATTATCAAACAATATCATTAATATCACATACAAGTAAAATCTTACTGAAGATAATTCAAAAATGATTTCAGCTGTATATTGACAGAGAACATCCAGAAATGCAAGGTGCATTCAAAAGAGAACATGGAAAAGGACTATCATTGCTGATGTCAGATGGATGTTGGCCAAAAGCAAAGAATACCAAAAAAAATGTTTACTTTTGTTTTATTGACTATGCAAAAGCATTAGAGTGTGTGGATCATAACAAATTATGGATAACATTGAGAAGAATGGGAATTCCAGAACACTTAATTGTACTCATGAGAAACAACCTTCACTTAGACCAAAGGCTGTCATTCAAACACAAGGGAATAATGCATGGTTTAAAATCAGGAAGAGTGTGCATCAGGGTGGTATCCTTTCACCACACTTATTCAATCTGTATGCTGAGCAAATAATCTGAGAAGTTGGACTATATGAAGAAGAACATGGCATCAGGATTGGAGGAAGACTCATTAATTAACAACCTGCAATATGCTGATGACTCAGCTTTGCTTCCTGAAAGTAAGGATGACTTGAAACACTTACTGATGAATATTAAAGACTGCAGTATGCAGTATGCTTTACACTTCAGTATAAAGAACACAAAAATCTTCACAACTGGACCAATAAGCTGCATCATGATAAATGGAGAAAAGATTGATGATGTCAAAGACTTCACATTACTTTTTTCTATAATCAACACTAATGGAACCAGCAATCAAGACATTAGATGACATATTACATTGTGCAAATCTGCTGCTAACGACCTCTTTCAAGTGATGAAGAGCAAGACATCTCCTTGAACACTAAGTTGCACCTACCCAAGCTGGGGTATTTTCAATGGCCTCATACCATATGAAAGCTGGCATAAATAAGGAAGACAGACGAGTTGATACTTTTGAGTTGCAGTGTTGGCAAAGAATACTGAAGGTACCATGGACTACTAAAAGAACTAACAAGTCTATTCTGGAAGAAGTATAGCTGGAATGCTCCTTGGATGAGAGAATGGCCAGGCTTCATCTCACCTACTTTGGTCATGTGGTCAGAAGGGACCATTCCCTGGATAAGAATATTATGCTTGGTAAAGTGGAGGGTCAACAAAAATGAAGAAGGCCTGCAACAAGATGGATTGACACAGTGGTTACAACAATGAGCTCAGGTATAGCAAGGATTGTGAGGCTTCCCCAGGAGCAGGCAGAGTTTGGTTCTGTTGTACATAGGATCACTTTGAGTTGGAGATGACTTGATGGCACCTAACAACAACAACAACTTCCCTAATGAGCTCCATAACATTGTGTTTTTTCTGAGAGTACTGTGTGGTTATTACAATGTATTACTGAACCCACCATAGAAGTAGAGAGTGCCATGGGAGGGACAGTTGGTGTCAGAATTGATAAAAAGTTTAGAAGGTGGTAACATGTCTGACCTCCTCTTCATGGGAATCAGCCTTGGGCTATTGATGTTGTCCTTGATCCTCCTTCCCATTTTGAAGTTAGAGGAGATCAGAAGGTGCTGCCTCATGCCCTTTTCTACAAAAGGGAAATACTACTACATACACTATTCTGTCATAACAGTGGTAACAATGATCTATGAGTGCATACGTAGATAAAAATGCAAGCTGAATTGGTGTGAGAAGGAGAACGGGACTTCACTCATGAATATGTATGGATTTGACAGAGGATATTTCTATATACATATTTACATGCACTGCAAATATTACGTATGTATAGTAGAACATATGGCAGAAAAGTTATGAAAATTTCTTGTTGTTGTTGTTGTTATATGCCATCAAGTTGGACCCGACTCATAGCGACCCCACCTTGGGTTTCCGAGGCAGTATCACTACGGAAGTAGATTGCCTCATCCTCTTTCCGCGGAGTGGCTGGTGGGTTTGAACTGCCAGCCTTCTGGTTAGCAGTCAAGTGCCTTAGGCACCATGCTACCAGAGCTCCCACAACCAAATACCTTGAGGGAATGAGTCACTGGGCCTGAAGGCTCTGAGTCATAGTCTTGGGGGACAGTCAGTCAATTGGTCCACAAAGATAATGCTCTATATCCTACTTTGGTGAGTAGTGATTAGGGTCTTAAAAATTCATCAATACCTCTCTAAGGCAAATCTATTGGTCTCTCCACATCCAGAGCACAGAAAAGTGAAAAAATCAAAGATGCATGGAAACAATTAGTCCAAAGGACTAAAGGGACACTTGGAACCTCAACCCATGTGACCCTGAGACCAGGAGAACTATATGGTACCTGGTTACCACTGCTGAAGGATTTGAAAAGGGTCACAATAAGAGGTTTCAGAGAGAATAGTAGAAAAATGTGGACAAAAACTGAAATTTATAAAAGAGACTAAGGCATTTGACTGCTAACCAGAAGGTCAACAGTTCAAACCCACCACCCACTCCTCAGAAGGAAGGTTGGGGAGTCTACTTCCATAGAGATACTGCCTCGAAAACCCAAGGAGGGATCACTATGAGTCAAATTGATTCAATGGCAGTGAGTTTTTTTTTGTTTTTAGTATACTGGTCTGATGTGGATTCGTGGAACCCCTAAGATTATGGCCCTTAGTCACCCTTTGAGCCTGGAACTGAACTTACCTTCATGGCTCAACTTTGACCCAAATAACAGACAGGCCTATAGGGTGAACAATAACACAAATGTGTTAAAAATATTTTGGGGAAGAGACACCCGTGCTTTCTGTCAGTCTCGTACTTTCTCAGAATCGGTGATGAATTTACTCAGTGGGAAACCAATGAAATGACAGGGCTGTTAGCTAGGACTGGCTGCTGTGTCTGCATGTCTTCCAGCTCTTCTCATTTCTTGATACTTCTTGGCCCTATCCCTAGGCTAAGTATCTTCTAAGATGCTCCACTTGCATGGCCCACAGATGCTCCAGATGCTAGAGAAATCCTTGAGGAAGAGGCTCCCTGAATCCTTAAAGGTGAGAATGGAAAATTCTTATGGAAACAATAACTAGCAACCTCTCATGGAAGAAGTGAGAAAAAGAAGGTTCACTGAGTATCTATCCAGGGCCAGGCACTCATTCATGTTATATTTCATTTTGCTCCCATCACCTCTCCCCAAGGAAGTTACATTATCCCCATGGCTTAGAAGAGCAAATTGAGGCAAAGTTCGAAGACTTGATCAGCATACAATAGTGAGTGGTACTGCTATAGTTTGGAACCACTTGTGTTCTTTGCTCTCAACAACTCTGTCACTTCTAAGAAATGTGGCATAATAACAATGGAAGGTTTCTCAGAATTGCAAGATTGACTATCATATTATTGTTTAATTTGTTCTCCTTAAGCAGTCATATGTCTGGTGACAGATCAACTATCGTGGTTCCTTTTGGAAAGTTGATAATAGACCAAATCCTATTTTGCCATACCCCAAAGGATTATATGTATTTTGGGATGAGATAGAAATTGAGTTTTAGAAATGGATTAATGGGTATGTATTATAGAGTGTTCTCTGCAGTAATATAAGGTGCAAAAGAATGCCATTGCCATATGATACAGGTATCAATTAATCAAGAAGACATAATAAAAATGCAGAAAGCATATTATTTAACAGGAGAGTTTTGGAATACATTAGGCAAAAACTGATAAAACTGAGAGAAGAAATAGGTAAACCCACAAGTACAATTAAAGACTTCAACACTCTTCTCTCAGTAACTGATAGAACAAGTAGATTAAAAAAAAAAAAAAACTAAACAAAACAATCTACCAATTGGCCTAGCTAACACACAAAACTCTCCCTAAAAACAGAAGAATATACGTAATTTTCAAGTGGACACTTACCAAGAAAGACCATATTGAAGAATTTTTAAATTACCTTTAATCCTACCAAATATATTCTTGAATGATATTGATATTAAACTTAAAAAACTAAAGGTATCTGAAAAAAAAGAAATATTTTGTAACTACGCATCACCCTTCTAAAATGTTCATGCTTCAGAGTAAGAAGAAAAAAGGGAAAATACTGGAATTGAATAAAAATAAAAGAATAACACATCAAAATTTATGTGATGTGGTTAAACTAATGATAAATGGGATATTTACACTATTAAAAACTTATACTGAACAAGAAAAATGATCTCAAGGCAATGATTTAACTTTCAACCTTCAGAAACTAGAAAAAAGGGACCCAATTAACTCCAAAGTAAGTAGAAAGAAAGAAATTATAAAAGGTAAGAGCAGGAATCAATGAATTTGAGAGAAACAAATGGTAAAGAATGTCTCTCTGTGGAGTCAGTGTAGCATTAATCTTCCTGCACTGATTTGTTAAAATGTGCACAGAGTATTGCCAACCAGGGAAACCCATCCAAGCCCTGGTCTTCAGAGATTTTACTGGAGCTTCATTACAAAGGCATGATTGGTTTGTTACCCATGTGGTTGATTTCAGTCTCCAAGTCAACTTCTATGATTGGCCAAAAACATTCACCCTAAATCACATTGTTGCTCTTTCCAGGATGGCCAGCCCTCATGCCAAATCATGTTAGACTATCTAGTATGACCCAAGCCTACTACCCCAAAAGTCAGTCCTATCAGGTATGACATTTCAAGGGCTTAGAGATCACCTCCCATAAAGCAAGAGCAAAGGCTAAAGCTCTTTTGGGGCAGGATTATGCTCTTTCCTACACAAGATCCTTCCGTATAATCGATATTATGTTGTTGTTGTTGTTATTTGCCGTCGAGTCGGCCCCGACTCATAGCGACCCCTCCTTGGGTTTCCGAGGCAGTATCACTATGGAAGTAGGATTGCCCAACCTTCCTTCCGAGGAGTGGCTGGTGGGTTTGAACTGTCAGCCTTCTGGTTAGCCGTCAAGTGCCTTAGGCACTATGCTACCAGAGCTCGATATTATGTAGTCATTAAAAAAATATTTATGTAGATTTGTGTTAATTGAACTGAAAATGTACCCAAAGTATAGTGTGTATGGGGAAAACATATTAAAAGTTTATACTGGGTAATTTCATTATTTAAAAATTGTGTATATATACCTAAATGGAAAACAAAGTAGAAAGATATATTAAAGTCTACAACATGAGAGTGAATGATTTTCCATTTAACTAATCGGAATATTTAGAAATCTTCATGTAACATTCTTATAGTTTAACCCAAGAGTCAATTTCTATTGGAGGAATAGAGTAGAAGCTAAAGAATATTGGAGTAGACGCCTTCTCAAGTAGCTTTCCAGATTTCATTGAGTAAGTCTGTACTAAAGACAACATGTTTCCATCCAGCCTGACATTCTGACTCTCCCACTTTTTTGGGATGCTGCAGGTTTATGGGACTGTCTTCCACATGAACCAGGGAAACCCATTCAAGCTAAAGGCCCTGGTCGACAAGTGGCCAGATTTTGATACGGTGGTTGTCCGCCCTCAGGAACAGGTAAGGGACCAGGTGAAAATGCTTGTATGTTCCTAGTTGCAGTTGCATATCATGTGCGTGGCAATATGGCAGACCCTGGGACTACTGGAATGAATCATGGTGATGGGGACAAGTCCTTGTCTTCAAGAAGTTCACAGCCTGGAGGAGAAGACAGATTAGTTTATAGCATAGTGTGAGATAGACAAGGACAGAAGATGTGCAAGAAACACAAGTAGCCCAGGTGAAAGCTGATTACAATTATACTTGGAAGAAGGTTAGAGACACTTCTTGGTGGAGGTTTCATCAGAACTCGATTTTGTAGATAACGATATTTTGTCAGACTGGAAAGGAAAAGAGAACATTCTAACCAAAGAGTCCAAAAGGAGCAAAGATGTGAAAGAGCACAGTGAGTTAGGATGAATAAAGAGAAAAATTACAACACTAAAATTGTTGTATACATTTTAGGTAAAGATATAAAAAACAGTGACGCTAAATTGGTATTTGCACCTGGCAACCTTGTACAGCCTGGGGACACAGAAATGAATGTAGGGGATGGAGAACAAGTGCCCATCCTCAAGAAGCTCACAGGTTTTCATTTTAATTACTGACAAAGATTTTAATGATTGATTCAGGGCTAAAATTGGAATTATGTGATTTGCTTTAAATCTAATTTTCTAAAAAAGGTTATCATTGGTGTCCTTGCTGAGCCATGAGTGCATTTCTGGGCAAAATGTTCCCGTTATGATGTATTTGTCGGGTAGTTGTCCTCTTCTGACTCCTTCCTTCTTCAAATAATCCTATTTCTTCCTTGATAACTTTAAGAAGACCATTTTGAACTTGTTCTGTGTTTTCATTTTGCTGGCTTTGCAAATATCTATTTATTTATTTATTTTTAAAATTTTATTATTTTATTTTATTTTATTTTGATTTGGGTGAAGATTTACAGAGCAAATTCACTTTCCATACAGCAGTTCACATATACTTTGTC